AATTGTATCGTGCAAGTAGTTTTGCAACATTGAGGTATGAAATATTTCAAAATATTGATGATAGACTGGGATGAAGGAATTGATAAAAGATGGTGATATTTTTTTACGCATTGTAAAGTATGTATTTTGTGTTCCGGTGTTTGATGAGTCAGGCAGTGATGATACTTTGGTATTTGGTAAAAAAGGAAGGTCATGATTTTAGTAACTTTTCAATCTATAGAGTTTCATCATCATAATATCAGTCTTTAACTGTCCACTGCTGAACATAAGCCTCCCCTTGGGGAGTTTGTCAGTGGTTGTCATGCTTGGCAGACGGATTGGCAACCGCAGCCAGGTTTTAGAGACGTTTTAAGAGGGACGCTGCTGCCCGTCCCTCGCCCTCCTTTAGTCGATTCTTACGACACCCACGGAACGGAAAGGAGTGGTCTATTCTATGCCGGGACCACACCGCCACGATAGAATTTACTCCTGTATAAATCCCATAATAATTTTCCCTTTTAATGTCGAATTTTCTGGTGAAATAATTTTAAATTGCTTGTAATTGTAAGTCCTGATTGAATAATTAAAGTCGTTGAACGTAATATTTGATAAACCCATATATTGTCAACCATATTTAATTTTACGTGACAAATAGAGTTTATTAACATTAATATTGTAAATGTTACTGAATTAGTTTATGTATTAAATAAAAAAAAAAAAACTACCATCATTATATTTTACAACAATATCTATTAGATGCTATCATAAAATGTAATTGTAGTCTTGTAAATGTACTGCTTATCATGTTGATTGGCAATAAATTTTTTTGAAGTGTTGTTGTTGATATTGAAGTGGAAATGTTTACATTTTTTACTTCAACAATCGTTTGGTAAAAAAAGAAACGCCACTCGTCAGTTCAATTCGTCGCTACGCTACACTCACTGAGAGTGGGTAAATGGATTCTGAGGCATAATCGTCTGTCAAAACATTGTTAAGTCTGGATTGTAAATAATTGAAATACTAGCTGTTCCATTCGAATGATAGAAGTAGATCGGTCTAATTAAATTTACTTGAATAAAAATTTATAAAAAAAGAACCTCATTGACAAGTTAGCATACAAACAAAATGACTGATGTCGTAAACTTTTAAACACAAACAGTATTTTATTTATTCATTGAATATGAAAGTGTCATGTATTCTAGTTTGTGGAAAACTGTAGGTAATTAATTTGTTTCAACAATCGATTAAAAAAGTACATTAGTACAGAGATAACTGATCTCGATACCATAGCGGTGTTTTCTATGTTAACATTTTCGGGGAAATATAAATTAAAACAGTTTTCACTTGCGTGTTATATTATATATTTTTAGTAGATTTGAAGCTTATTATATTTTCGCATACAACTTTATTTTTAAGTGGAAGCATTAGAAAACCAAGTTTTGTGAAGAAGTTTTTTTTCAATCTTTTTATTAACGTAAGATTTGACATAATCATTGTGTAGACATTATTTGTTTATGCATATATGATATGTTTGTATGTGTATTTGATATATATTTATTGAATAACGGTATGGTTATCTTTAATGTATTTACTTATTTAGTATTGACATGAATTATAACAAAAAGTACTTTTAAAAAGTGGGACACCACTAACGTTTAATTGGGAAAATGTAGATAACAAAAAAGCTTTGATACAGTTTACGACCGTTTATATGTTGTAACTATATAATATTTGCATATTATATTCGTGAGTTTTATCACGTATGTGTTGAAATTCTCGAAATGCGTCTCATTTTGAGATTGTGGGCTTGGATACGCCCATTAATTACAGTGCTATTTTGGTTTAATCCCACCCCGCGATCCGCTGTCGCTTGTCACTATGTCGAAGTTAGCAGACATTTTTTATAAATACTGGAAGTATTTATTTATATACATTTTCCTACAATAATATTTCTATTTAAATTTTATTGGTTAATTCATCAGTAGGAAAGAATCTCTGAATCTTATTGTTAATGAAAATATATATTTTTTTGTTTGACATTTGTTTTGTTACCAATATTTATGTACGTTTTAGAACGGACAAATTTACTATCGTGCTAGAAAGACATTTAGTGTTTAGAAACAGAGTGAATGGTTTAGTTTTAATACAAATGTATATTATTCACAATGTTTTTAAATTTTGGTAAACCATATTATTATCTCATTAAGGTTAACCAAATATTTATAAAAATGTTAATAAACAGAAAAAATTTTATGACCCGATGAATAATCTAATCATTTTGATAGAATTTCGTTTAGAAAGAGAATATGTATTATAGAAAATTAACAACTAGGCTAACCTTGCACATCCTGTATGGCATTTAAATTCATAGGCTAATGATGCGTTGACAAATATTTCTATTTGATTGCTAGCCAAGAACATATTTTTTTTTAAATTGTGGACATGTAATAAATGTCTTTATTATACCGTTTCTACATACAAATTTAAATCTATAAATCTGCCTTGAAAAATGTATAACGTCCAATTTGTTGTCATTGTTGATTTTCAAAATTTATTATCCCTATCGTGCATTATTTGAAATATTTAATAATTATGATAATAATTATGATCGTCGCTATTAGATAAATACAGATTCCTTGACCAATATTTCTTTATATAGAATCAAGAAAAATTGCCTGCTACCCATGTCCCATTTATACTCCAATTCTAATTTTTTGGTACAAGAATTTTTCTCGGATGTCACGATGCAGCAAATAAATATTGGTCGTGAATTGGAGAAATGAATCGATCTCGCTCTTATATAGATGATTCCGAAATTTTATCTCTTTCACCCTAATAGCCGGCTGACAAACATGTATCAGCGGTTAATAGGTGCGCTTGCGCAGCTGTTGCGAACAAATCAGCTCGGATATAGCTGACACTGTCAAAAAGCTGACTTTGTGGCGCGTGCGGCAAGCGCCGAGCGGCAGTGAAGTCATTCGAACCTGGTGTGAACTAGTGCCGATAAAAATATATTAAATACACAAGACTAATTTGTTATGAACAATAAAATACAAAAAAATGTTTATAAGTAAATTCAAATGGGAGGAAGTTCTCAATTATATGCACGTATTTCATATTATCTCTTTAGCAATCTGTATGGATCTCTGTTTTAAATGTATGTATCTTACCAAAATATGAGGAGAAAAATGTTTTCGTCTAAAGAATAAAGTATATACAAAACTGTAAACCATTATGATTATGTAATGATATTATAAAAGTTAAATTTTCGCGTCGTTTATACATATTTTAAATACTTACACTGTAAATATTTTTAAAAACATTATGAACGTCGTCAATAAAGAAGTAGGTATATAGGTATTATTTACCTGCAAAATTTTTTTATCGCGTTAAGTCCTAATAGTGTATCTAAAATAAATAAAATAAAAGTATATGAAAATATAATTGTAAATGAATAAAATTACACAATTACAAGCCAACGTAAATAACATTTGAAAGTAATAAACAACGCAGGAAAAATAAATAACTAAATATTTCTTTGAAATAAGAATAAATAAAAATAAGGTTAATTAAGTAAACAGGCTTTAGCGTATTTTGTTTTTCTTTTTTTGTATTGAAATAGAGGACACTGTTAGATTTATGCACGCAAACAAACTATAGACTAATGATAAATGGAAATTATAAATAGATGTATAACGTCACAGACAATATGAAAATAGTTCAAAAGTATTTTAGGTTAGGTTACGATTTTTTAAACCAGTCAAACATTTTTTTTACTTTTATATAAAGTACTAGTGATCGGTTTTGATGTTCTATAATAATACATATTATTTATTTATTTATACTTTTTATATTAAAGAAAGATAGGCAAGTTTAACTCTGTAAGAGTTCTCTTCCAGCAAACCCTGAGTGGAAAGGAGTATTGTTTACCAGTGACCAATATTATATCTTATAAAAGGTTTATTTTTCATTTTTTGGATTTAATAAATGCTTAGATTTGCTTTTTTACTTTAATATGACGTATAATTGTTGGTAAATGTTACAGCGTATAAAAGATATATTTTCCCCGTATGTATATAATATATTGTCCCAGGTTACCTATAAGAGATTGCTTTTAGCGATAAGGCCGCCTTTTGTATATGCACATTCTTAATAAATACTCCTTGTATATATATCTCTGGGGTGCGCAATAAAGAGTTTATTGTTATTATATTTTAATTTTTTTTAACCAATAGTACGTGTTCTTTGTTTGGTTTAATTTTTATATTAATGTAGTATACTAGTTTTTACCCACGATTTCGTCCACGTGGTTGGAATATGTTTACTGAACGGGATGTAAAGGAGTTTTTATTCTTCTTCATCAAATATATTATGTGTATACTAAATTTGTTTGTGTTTGGTTAAGTCATTAAGGTGCCATAAAATAACAAACATACTCGCTTTCAAAACAATATTAAGTAAGGACAAACAAACTACCTGTTAAATTAGGTCGGCATTAAGTTGCGAGTTTGTCACATGCGCCAAAGCGTAACGACCAAACATTACGACGAGGGTCGACTCTGTTCATTCAAGATCGGTGAAAGCATCCTATGTATGTAAAAATAGATATTGTAGAATATTTATTGGCCATCTCTTCGAGATTCGATTTAATATTAACATTAGAAAAATATAGTACGCACGTGTTTGGGCGTTAGACACTAATTTCTTCAGGGACTTTGGGATTGTATTTTCTAATTTTACTTTCAATTTTAGAATGCAATAGCATCCAATTGAATTCGATTCTAGAATGTTTGTATTGAAATGTCATAGTAATTTAAATTTATTAGCCCTGAATTTGTTGAAACACGGATGATGATAAATTATACACTTGAATAGTTTTTTTTATCGAATATTTATGTGTGTTAATTTCATTAAATATTTTATATCTGTTTTGTTTTTGTTTTATATATTATTATTTTTTGTTTTATATACCATTAGTATACTATCAGAATAATTGATCGTGTAAAATTATTGGTGTACAGGAATTGTCTATACACGCGGTGTCCACACAAGAGTTACTGAAGCCAAAAGAAGAGCCTGCGTACTCCTTGGCTACACCATCAAACTTGTGCTCCGTCAGTTTACATCATACAGGTTTGTATATTTTTTAAATGCTTTTAAAGAAAATAGTTTACAATATCTTGATCACTTCTATCTTTTCAATATATGTATCTCGTCCCATGATGTTCTTGTGTTCTAATCTTTGAAAGGGCTCAACCGATTTTTTAAGTTGTAAATGTTTATTTGTTTTCCTTTTATTTTGATAAGAAAATAATGTATTATATAGGAGTCGGTAGAAGGAAAACAACGTTTGATCAGAACAGCTAATATGTACTTAATTATAATGCACTTACCCTACTTATGAGTACGAGAACATAGTGAAAGATTTATACTATTTCGCATTTGGATCAATTACAGATACATTTATACAAAGACAAAATTAAAATGACTTGTAGGTATTTATTATATTTATATTTGTACGTAAATTTATAAGAATAGTCGGCTGTATTTGTGAAGAAAGGTCAAAAGGGGCAAGATTGTTCACCCTAATTGTATCTCTAGACAAATAGGGTGTTAGGCACGATCATATTTTTGCCTCTAGCTAGGTAATGTCGAGCTCTACCTTTCTGTTAGAATATCGAATAACTTGCATGATATCAAATGTTTAACTTTGTGGGTGTAATTAGTGAAACTTTTAGTTTATAATCACTACTACGTTATACGTTTTTGTGTATTGGGTGAGTTAACTTCGTTATTTATTTATTTATTTATTTAAAATGTAAATGCACAGTAAAATGTACATTTAACGGACTTAACACCGGACGATGTTCTCTACCAGTCAATCATTGGGCAAACCGAGAAATTCGTAGACGGCGCGTTACTGAATAGAGGAAAAATAAAATAATACTTGATATATTCATATAATATAAACATATAATTAGACTAGTATAAACATACACATAATATATTAAAGAAATAAATATATACATAAATAAATACATAAAATATTACTTTATAAAACTATTAACTGTAATATAAACAAATATTTATCTAAGACTCAAACAGAGTAACCAGCAAGATTAAGTTTAAAGGGAAAGTAAATTTTTCTAAGAAATAGGTGTGCAATTTATTCCTCTATTTTTTTCTGTTTTTTTTTTGTATTATATATGTATATTTTTTTGTGTATACAATTAAGCGAAGTGGAGTTTGTATTAAGTGGCATAAAAACTGTTTTTTTTCGCAACTTAAAATGGCAACATGCTGACGGCCTACCTGATGGAAAGTGGTAACCGTCGCCTATAGACATGAACAGTATCATGGACAACAGAATATAGTATTTCGCCCACGATACCCCCCCATGCGTTGCCAGTCTTGAAGACCCAGGTGTTATTTCTCTGTATCCTGTAAATTCACTTCATATCCCACCCTTCAAACCGAAACACAGTCACGCAAACACAACTGCTTCATGGTTGAAACACGAATAGGACAGAGGTACCTAAGTGTACAACTTTTGTACAATGTCTCCCTCTAGTAATGTAGAGTAGGTACAGTTATATATTAGGATTTGATATGAGATCTAAACAGTAAACAAAATCATTTGACAGGAACTTTAAAGTATTATGTTTCCGTCTTCGCATATACAAGTACTGTTCTTATTGTATTAAAGTAGGTATAATATCGTGGTTTTCTCGTAATGCACTTATTATTACCCTAATTCCAAAGAAGTTAGAGTCCAAAATCGTATACGTCACACTAAGGGCTTATGTTACTACTTCAAACGCGGCGTTGGCACGAACTTAGGAATATGTAATTTACGACTAAACCAGTATTGTTCATTCAGAACGGTCTTGGTTGATTGTCGATATTAAAAGTGTCAAGCGTTTGGTGCCGGAAATTCATTGATAGATTTAATCGCCCTGCACTGAAATAACGTAAGCGCAGTAGGATTTAATTCGAAGAGTAAATTGCTAAGTCATTAATTCCGTCCGGTCGACTCGGCTCCTGCACTAAAAACTGGTGCTATTTTTGAAGAGTAGATCCTTGAAATTCGAATGAAATTTTATTTGCGTTATTTTTCAAAGCATCACAATACCGATATGTGACTATTATTTCTATATATTTGAATTAATTTATAAAATACTATTTTATATAAATGTTAGATAATAGGCACTATTAAATAAGCATTTCGTGTATATGTATTTATAATGACAAGATACTTGTGAAATTTAAAGCATATCAATCACCATTAGAGAACAGGTGGTCAGTAAAAGACAAGTACCTACAACGCTTTTGTGGATACCTACTCGTACGCTCGTTTCAATTGTTTGGCTAATATCTTAACGTATTCGTAATTTTAAGGGAAGAATATTTAGAAAATAGATTTATATGTAAATTATTTTAAGTGGGAATTGAAATCCTCTATTTAGGCAACTTGATAAGCTTTGTTCGCCATAAATACGTTATTTATTTTGTTTCGGTCTTATGCTTGGTTTTTATTCATATACTGATGGAATAATAAATAATGATAATAAGGGATAGTAAACATATCTTAATATTTTTGTTGCTTCTTAAAAGAATCAAGTCCAGGTTTATTAATAAGAAACTCGATACAGTAGTTTTATCTCTCGTAAACAGTAATAATACGGAAGGAATAACAAGGAATGGGATATAAGACAGAAAGAAAACAAAAGAGGACAGAAAATAAATCATTAGAAAATATAATGGCCAATACAATACCACATTATGAAAGACAAGGTAAAATTTTTTTTAGCAAAATAATAAGTTTAAAAAGCTGGGTTGGCGGCTTATTTGATAGAATATTATAAGCTACCTATCATAGAATATAAAGATTTCTAGGGCGCTTCATAAAGTTAGAAATTTTACAAATTATATTATTGTATAAACATTATTGAAAATATCGTTTTGTTAATCTAAGATATGCGAACAACATACATACATATATATCTATCACGCCTGTCTCCCATTAGAGTAGGCAGAAATAATGGAATGCTAAGTGCTTCGATTCAAACAAACCTCTTTCGTTTCTTTCATATTCATCAATCTATTCGGTCGGCCCCTACTGACACCTCCATTCACTCTTGATCGATAAATCTCTTTTGTAATTCTTCTTTCATTCATACTCTCTAAATAGCCAAACCAACGTAACATTCTCTTTATGATTTTTGTCTCTACATCGTCCTTCAGTCAATATTTTTATCTAATCACACTGTTGTTCACTCTATCTTTTAATGTTCATCACCACACATACTTCTCAGAACTCTCACCTCTACAACATTTATCTTACTTTTCTTCTTCTGTCATACCTACGATTCATTTCCATACATGAGTGTTGGTGTCAGTACTCCCTCAATTATGGTAAGGTGAGCTTTGCTTGATTTAATTATAAGCAGTGCACAGTTAACACTGTTTCCCGCTTTTGCTCTCCTTTTAATATCTCTCTCACACTTTCCATCCCTTGTAAACAATGAAACCAAATATAGAAACTCAAATATAGAGATTCAAGCACTTGTTCCACTTTTTCACCTCCTATCATTATCTGGCATGCTGTTTGTTTTCTTTCATTTCTCTCAAAAACCATTAGCTTCGTCTTTTTTGCATTTATTTTTATATTTTTTCTTCCATACGTTTCATTGATTACAGTCACCATTTGTCGTAATTCATACTCCGACGATGCAAGCAGTACTTAGTTATCAGTGTATAAAAGAATCTTATACACATACATACATTGTATTTATATATACATACGAACAATAATAATAAAATTAATATCTATGAATGAGAGTTGGTGATTTATTTTGACACGGTTGATTTAGAGAGAAAATATGTTCTAAGTCGTAAATGAAACTAAGATATGTGAGGTAGATTTTTATAAGCAAAAAAAAAATAAAAAATAAAATGTAAGTAAGAAACTAAACACAAAGTAGAAACTGTGCATCGTGCGCAAACCCATAACAAGCGTTAGTGGTAACTTGTCTTAAGGCCGATCAGTAGGTATTGCTTATATTTTTTTCTTGCCCTTTAAACAAAAACACACATTATTGTTTTGGATTGTGCGTTAGCAAAGTATTATTATTTCTCGTCAGAGGCAGGAACAAAAGTAGGTCGAACTCAAATTTCATAAATATTATACATAATATTATGTAGTGTTCCATACACTGTTCACATTAACAATCGTTATTATGAAATAGTAATCTCGGTAATTTTAAACCATGCGAGTAGGCACATTTTAAGGTCATTACTTTGTTGGAACCAAAATTTTTTTTATTTGATTTACCGATCTACAAACTTATAATGGGAAATAATATACCAATTAAGGGATAAAAATAAAAACCCTACATCGAAGCCGTTAGTCACCATTATAGTTAACAAATAGGCTAGGATGTTTTTTTCTATAGGAATAAATGTCTATGTCTAACAGCGGAACGTTTAATAGGTTCTTAAAAAATGAATTGATCATAATCCTTAATAAATTAATGTCTTTTCGACAATAGCTTTGATATGTTCTTGGAGATTCACACCTGTAATAACAAACATTAATTTGTCCTTTTCTGGTGACTACGGGTGATTTCACACTGTAGTCTCTCCAATCTCCTTGATTTTTGTTTTACTAATTTATTTTTCCGGCGGACCATTTTCTTAACGATATAATAAGAAATAGATTTATTATTATTTTTACTTGTAACGCTAAGTGAACCTTCAACGGTTCGTTTCAGCATTTTGATCTTCTCGCCTTTGCTTCTTATTGGACAGTTTTTTTTATTACTGTGTTTGTTTACTAATTTACTATAACAAATTTTCTTTTTGAAATAACATGTAGATATTACAAAATTATGTAGTTTTTTATGAGTACATCGTACATTTTATATTTTTTCAACACTGCATTTTCTTAAATATTCATTATAAAATTATATCATATTAAAGATGCTATGCAAATACCTATCTTCTCGTCCAATTTTGAAATAGGTTGACTAGATTTTAACTATATCTAATGACGCAGGTTTGAGCTTATAAAATCAAAATTCCATGATATTTTGAACGGTAATGTTTACATTGTAATCAGGTTTCCACGAAAT